TAGTGTAGAGTGTAAAGTTTAGAGTGTGGAGTGTGGAGTGTAAAGTGTGGAGTGTAAAGTGTTGAGTGTGGAGTGTAAAGTGTGGAGTGTAAAGTGTGGAGTGAGGAGTGTAAAGTGTGGAGTGTGGAGTGTAAAGTGTGGAGTGTGGAGTGGAGAGTGTGAAGTGTAAAGTGCAGAGTGTAAAGTGTGGAGTGTGGAGCGTAAAGTGTAGAGTGTGGAGTCTGGAGTGGAAAGTGTAGAGTGTGGAGTGTGGAGTGTAAATTGAGGAGTGTAAAGTGTGGAGTGTGGAGCGAGGAGTGTAAAGTATAACGTGTGGAGTGTGGAGTGTACAGTAAAGTGTGGAGTGTGGAGTGCGGAGTGTGGAGTGGAAAGTGTAGAGTGTGGAGTGTGGCGCGTAAAGTGGGGAGTTTGGAGTGTAGAGTGTGGAGTGAGGAGTGTAAAGTGTAAAGTGTGGAGTGTGGAGTGTAAAGTGTAGAGTGTGGAGTGTGGAGTGTGGAGTGGAAAGTGCAAAGTGTGGAGTGTGGAGTGTAAAGTGAGGAGTGTAAAGTGTGGAGTGAGGAGTGTGGAGTGTAAAGTGAGGAGTGTAAAGTGTGGAGTGAGGAGTGGAAAGTGTAGAGTGTAAAGTGTAGAGTGTGGAGTGTAGAGTGTAAAGTGACGAGTGTAAAGTGTGGAGTGAGGAGTGTAAAGTGTGGAGTGTGGAGTGTAAAGTGTGGAGTGTGGAGTGTGGAGTGGAAAGTGTGGAGTGTGAAGTGAGGAGTGTAAAGTAAGGAGTGTGTAGTGTAAAGTGTGGAGTGTGGAGTGTAAAGTCTCAGGTGAGGAGTGAGGAGTGTAAAGTGCAAAGTGTAATGTGTGGAGTGTAAAGTGTAGAGTGTGGAGTGCGGAGCTTTCCCCATAGACACGGCGACGCCACAGGAAAACCAGAGACTCGAGACAAGACACGTGGATGCAGAAAAACCAGCATTTCGTACGAGACTTCCTCCAATTTTGACATTTTCAACACATTATCAAACAGGTTGGAATGTCACAAAGTGCCACGCCTGCTACGCAAAACGACATGACAACCTGCTTGGAAACCTTCGAAAAGGAGAGATTTTGCGGCTTCCCCCATAGACACGACGACGCACAGGAACACCAGAAACTCGAGACGAGACGCATGGTACAGAAAAACGAGCATTTCGTACGAGACTTCCTCCAATTTTGACATTTTCAACACGTTATCAAACAGCTTGGAATGTCACAAAGTGCCACGCCTGCCACGCAAAACGACATGACAACCTGCTTGGACACATTCGAATAGGAGATGTTTTCCAGCTTCCCCCATAGACACGGCGACGCCACAGGAAAACCAGCGACTCGAGACAAGACACGTGGAGGCAGAAAAACCAGCATTTCGTACGAGACTTCCTCCAATTTTTACATTTTCGACACATTATCAAACAGGTTGGAATGTCACAAAGTGCCACGCCTGCCACGCAAAACGACATGACAACCTGCGTGGAAACATTCGAAAAGGAGAGGTTTTGCGGCTTCCCCCATAGACTCGGCGACGCCACAGGACAACCAGCGACTCCAGACGACACACGTGGGTGCAAAAAAACGAGCATTTCGTACGAGACTTCCGGCAATTTTCAAAGTTGGCATCATGACAAAAAGACAAGTTTTGCAGCTTCCCCCATAGACACGGCGAGGCCACGGGAAAACCAGAGACGCGAGACAAGACAGGTGGGAGCACCAAAACGAGCATTTCCTGCGAGACTTCCTCCAATTTTCACACTTTGCAGCTTCAAAATCAACGTTTTCCTACGAGTTTTCCTTAGAACCTGAAAATTTGCAACCTCAAAATCGATGTTTCGTGCGAGGCTTCCGTCAATTTTCAGCGCATCGCACAAAATGCCACGCCTGCCACGGAATTTGCACCTTGTCGCCACTTGACGCAGCCCTGCCAATGCGATTTACAAAAAACACGCAACAGGACACGTCTAAAGTGCTGCGCCTGCCACGAAAAATGACGATGGACACGTCCAAAGTGCTGCGCCTGCCACGAAAACTGCAACACATCTTCTGAAAACGTCACAAAAGTATTGCGCCTGCCACGCGAAACGATTTTCAACACGTTGCAAAACACGTCTGAATGTCACGAAGTGCCACGCCTGCCACGCGAAACGAAGCAACGACACGTCTGAAACCTCTAAAAATGATCACCTCTGCAAAACTTCCCATAGGCACGGCCATACGGACCTCGTACGAACGGTTGCGAACGGTTGCGAACGGTTGCGAACGGTTGCGGACGCGGACGCAACGTCGAGCGAACACACTCTCAACCCCCAGACCCCCAGAGTGAAACGGGAACCCTTGCTACGCATTCGGGAATAACAAACGTGTCCCTCGCAAATGTTCCTAACTTAACTAGCAAGGCCTCTGTACGGGTGACGATCCAGCAAGCCAGCCAGTCTGCCAACGGCCTGTAGGAGAAGTCAAGTCAGCTCATGTCATTAAGAAAGGTGGCCGTTTGCTAGAAATGTGTAAGTTGCAATCTATTCATATCATTTCATATCTATTCTGGCAGCTATTCATATCTATCATTATCTGTCTACATATATACATATTATATATATTATACGTATAAATTATATATATAAGGTGATTTCCCTGCAAATGGGTCTGATGGATTTACATTTGGGTGATACAGTCTTGTGTTGCTCGGCCGTTCCACGCCTTTTTCCCTGCTCAGCGGACAAACAATGCAGTCACTAAAAGACAGAGAGAGACGGAGTTCAGCACTCATATAAACTGGACCTGGCATAGGAAATCAGTGGAATAGATGGCAATGAATGAAAAATGGATACATGCCATAGAAAAAAAGTGGCATAGATGGCAATGAATGAAGAATGGATACATGCACGTGAGTGCAAATGATTGTACATATCAGCGCTTTTTTTCTTCTCCCCGCATGTTGTTTTCCTTTTTACAAGTTCTTTCGACTGGCCAAGTTCTGCTGTCTCCTCAAGGTGTTCTTTGTACAAGTTCTTTCGACTGGCCAAGTTCTGCTGTCTCCTCAAGGTGTTCTTTTTACACGTTCTTTCGACTGGCCAAGTTCTGCTGTCTCCTCAAGGTGTTCCTTTTACAAGTTCTTTCGACTGGCCAAGTTCAGCTGTCTCCTCAAGGCGTTCTTCGCATCCCAGAGCTGAGAACCTGAAAGCTGGGCTGACATGAAAATCAGAGACCCTCAACATCTCAAACCTCAAACCCAAAATGTTTAATAATCTTGGAACATTGGGATGCACAAAAACATACGAAAACCATGCCTTGCAACCCAGCCACTTAACTGGTAGATCTCATTGAGATACTTTTCCTCCGTTTTTTGGCAGCTGTGGCAAGAGGCGTCATCGATGATGTTGCACTGAACCCCCATGTCAACAGTCAATGGCTTCTCATGCTTCCCCACTGCCACTGCAACAGGAACAAGTTGTCCAAGTTGCCCCCCATCAGCATCAGCATTGCCATCCTCAGCTTCCTTCTTTTTGTTGTCCTTCTTCTTGTCTCGTTCCCTTCCTGAGATTCGACCAGGGTTTATCCGATAACAGGACAGGCTTGAAATATACACGTGACCCGCTGATGGATAATCAAAGTGCCATTTCTTGAGGCCACCCATGACATTCCCATACATTCCCCAAGTAAAACCTGCTAGTCAAAGTCCCAGCAGCTGGCAGCATCATAGATTTTATTCAGGGCCTTTCGTCTCTCTTCGCCTTCTGCTGGTACCTTTTTGTCCAGGTACTTTTTGCGACGGCCCTCCTCTTTCTTAACTACTTTTTTCCGCCCCATGGCGGGTCAGGTTCTAAGATGCCTGGTGGTAATATTTAAAATGTCGTAATGAATGTTGACAAGAATGGTAATGTGTTTCCTGTAAGTGTTGTACTGGGTCTTGTAAAATGTCAGAATCCTATAGCCTATGCTCCTAGATCTTGTCGACGTATGTTTTTTTTTAGACTTGTCATACTTTCTTTACTTGTCATACTTTCTATATGCTGATCTTGAGCCCCCTTGCAAGGCAATGCATATACACATCTCCCAAGCTCAAATAGGACCACTGATCCCCCATTGCACCTACACATCTCCTAAGCTCAAAAAGGACCACTGATCCCCCAGTGCACCTTCATTTTTTCTAAGCACCGTTCATGAGCTTCCCATGTCCTTAGGTGCTATGTGTTCAATAGCAATGGTAAAGCAGCCAGCACCCCAGCACCCAGCACCCCAGCACCCCAGCACCCCAGCACCCAGCACCCCAGCACCCAGCACCCCAGCACCCAGCACCCCAGCACCCAGCACCCGAGCACCCAGCACCCCAGCACCCAGCACCCCAGCACTCTAGTACAGCTTTCCCTTTCCTTTTCTTTTTCTCCTTTCTCAGTTCCCTTTTCGCTTTCCATCCAGCACCCAGCATCCCAGAACCCTAGCACAGCTTTCCCTTTCCCTTTCTTTTTGTCCTTTCTCAGTTCCATTTTTCATTTCCATCCAGCATCCCAGCACCCAGCATCCCAGCAGCCAGCATCCCAGCACCCTAGCACAGCTTTCCCTTTCCCTTTCTTTTTCTCCTTTCTCAGTTCCCTTTTTACTTTCCATCCAGCACCCAGCATCCCAGCATCCCAGCTTCCCAGCACCCTAGCACAGCTTGCCCTTTCCCTTTCTTTTTGTCCTTTCTCAGTTCCATTTTTCATTTCCATCCAGCATCCCAGCAGCCAGCATCCCAGCACCCTAGCACAGCTTTCCCTTTCCCTTTCTTTTTCTCCTTTCTCATTTCCCTTTCTCATTTCCATTTCTTTTTCTCATTTTTCCATGCGTCCTTTTTCCTTTCCCTTTCATCACCCCAGCACCCCACCACCCAGCATCCAAGCACCTCCAAACAAAAAAGTAAATAAATTCATCAGATGCTTCTATCAGAGATGAATGCATAATGCAAATGCTTCTGTCAGAGATGAATGACAGAACGAGCGCCCTACCATTTGAAGAGTGAGAGGAGATCTGACGGACGGATTGATGAATGAATGGGACCTGATGGTTGGGCATGTTTGACATCATTCTCTGTGATATGTTGCTCACATAGATTCACATAGCTTCTTGGGTCCCGCGCAGAAAGGGTCTGCACCATGTGCAGCGACATGACCACAGCCTAGGAGCTGCTCATGGATGGAAACAGTTTGGAAACAAAATTAGGCAAAGTCAATTTTTAGAAAATAATGCCACAATATTATATAAGTTTGCACCGGGGAATGTATCAAGTAACAATCTTTCCCAAATGCCAGCCACTGACTAGCAAGAACATTTGCACAGTAGAGTTTGGATGCTCAACTTGCGCTTTTCCGCTCCACGCTGGCAAGAGATGGTGGGATCCTCAGGCAAGACTGCTCGCAGTCCAAAGCGGCTAACCCAGCACTTTGCCAACAGTGTTGACAGTGGGAGGCCACAAGCAACAACTTAGATACTAAGTGGCTTTTTCGAAGTAATTATAATAAATATATGTCGGTCATTGGATGCCCGAAAGTGTTGGGGATAACCCATCATCAACATTTAATGTGTGAAAACCAGTGGACTGGGATTGGCACCTATCAATGTTTTTCTGTTGTCAGCCAATAGGCAGGCTTTCCCACATGTTCCCCTAGAGAGGTTTGAAACCTGCCTTTTTTTGTATGATGTTGGATTTGCACAACATCACACCAAACGGAGCACTTCATCTTGCTCCATCTTCAAGTCGGACGTTCCCTTCAGGAAATAGAGGGGCTTACCTCAGCAATCTCTTGTTTGGGTTTGGGATGGTTTGAGAGTATGATGAATATTGAGTCAGATCAGCCAAAGTATATCAGAATCTTAGATGTTATCGTAATATATCGTAATAAATATTGTGCACGAGAAAGCATAAAGAAGTGATGGCCATCATCAAAAAGACATGCGATTTTGACATATCTTGAGTTGTGTGACTTGTTCAATGCTGTTCAAGCACTTTAGATTGGCACGGTGTCTTGAATCACTGCACGAGATCTAAGTTCAAACCTTGGATACCTAAACAATTTCCCCAAGTAATTAGAACGAACTTGGTTGTCCAGCCAGAGCTGGACATGCAAACCAAGATGCGAGGGCTGATTTCCTGAGATGGCGGCAAGAGCAGCAAAGGATGAGAAACAAGAGAGAACAAGACTAGGCATCACTAAAGGCCAAGAATGTTGTCTCAAGTGCTGCCCAGTAGCATTGGATTCTTTGGCATAGGAGACGCGCCACGACATTGTCAGCATTTTGGAAGTCTTCAGCGCCTCAAACCAAATCTCCAACTAAAGTGCTATAAGCACGTGATAGAAAGGAAATGTCAGAAACAGACAATGTCGATCTCTCACAATTTGAAAGGAAATGTCAGAAGCACACAATGTCGATCTCTCACAATTTGAAAGGAAATGTCAGAAACACACAATGTCGATGTCTCACAATTTGAAAGGAAATTTCAGAAACACACAATGTCGATGTCTCACAATTTGAAAGGAAATTTCAGAAACACACAATGTCGATGTCTCACAATTTGAAAGGAAATTTCAGAAACACACAATGTCGATGTCTCACAATTTGAAAGGAAATTTCAGAAACACACAATGTCGATGTCTCACAATTTGAAAGGAAATGTCAGAAACACACAATGTCGATGTCTCACAATTTGAAAGGAAATGTCAGAAACACACAATGTCGATCTCTCACAATTTTCTGCCTCTGCTGGGAATGCAGAAGCAATGGATGACCACTTGCAAGTGTTGACAGCAGCGGGTTGGTTCCACTGGAACACACACGGCTTCGGCTTCGGCTCAATCACGAAGACGTCATCACCTTGGCCAGAGGGCAGCCCCCCCATCACAGACAGAATGAGATTATAGAAAAACAAGGGAAAGACAAATGCAATCAATAAGTAATCGGTACACTAACCCATCAAAGTTCTAACAGTAAGGGTTGCACCTTGGTCACTGTTGGCATGCTTCAAGTTGTGGCTGTTGATGGTTGCATCAATAATTTCAGCTTCGGTCTCAAGTTCTTGCAAAAGCGTCCTCCAGGTCGACCGGTCACTGTCAACAGTTGCCTTGGTTCCGTCCTGGGGGATCTCAAGCACAACCATATCCAAATCACTTTTCCACTCGACGGTGAAGAGTCTTTGGCACTCACCTCCCAGATTCCACATGGCCACATAATCTTGTGACTTAAACTCACACAGTGCACTGCATACAGCTCAGGGATAAAGCTATTAAAATCATACACAAGCGAAAGCATGCAAAGTAGCTTTTGCCCGAGAGTGTCGCGGCAGGTAGCTTAAACTTGAGTTTGGGTAAGCACCGGGGAAACACAGTCTTCTGACTGAACCCAACCCAACATGTAGCAGCAGTTCTAGCTAGCGTCTATGCCAGTATGCTGCAAACCCCTAGGCCAGCGAAAGCAGAGGTCCCTTCCAAGCAAAACTATGGCGTACTGCTAAAAAATTGGATTTGAAGTGTCACTTCAAAGTTCAAATCAACTGAAGTGTTTGCAGTGTGCATGTCCAACCTTCTGGTTGAGGAGCCATAGCTTTCACTCATGGTATCCCTTTATAGAATCACTTAAGAATCTATGTTGTTGCTTCGGCGACTGCAATGTCAGCTTTGGTCACCCTGCGACGTGAACGTTCCGAGGCATTCATGTTCTTGATGCTGTTCAAGCGCACGGGATGCGTCTTCCACCTCAAGTGCCAGGACCGGGATGGGTGGAAGCAGCCAAACATGTAAGCATGAGTGAATTCTGAGTGAGTGTCCATCAGCAGCAAATTTAAACTAACACATGTTGAAAACCTATCATATTTTGAAATACAGTTTGTAGGGCCCAGGCAACTTCCTGGCTTCTGCGAGAACTTGTCGTCCAGTCCAATCTGGGTTCTTCTCCCGCAAGTCAGCCATGATTTCTTTCAAGTACTTGTGAAACTCATCTTTCAAAGTTGGCCCCTGCAGAAAAGACAGAGTGTGTCCATGTTATCCAGCTCTATGATGGAGTAAGAGTTGAAAATATGGTGGACACTGACATATTGATTGAAAGTTGGAACGTGCAAAAGGGGCGGAATGTGCGTCCATTCGGAATTCACAAAATGTCCGCCCACTGTATGAACGTGTTGCTCGTGATTCCATTTATTAGTTGATAAAATCTTTCAAAGTTGGACCCTGCACAAACGACGGGATGTGAATCCACAGGGACTAAAAAGAAGTCATCCAGCAGTATGGAGTTTTTGAATGAAGGTCGGAATTGGACAGGATTCCCAGGTAATCAGGTTCATCAAAGAAGTCACCCAGCTCTATGATAGATAGAAGATTTGAATACACTGTGGAAATTGACAAGATCCTTAGATACATTAGGGAATGTCTCAGAATAGGGGTGCCATGACTGAATGCCCCAAGCCCTTCTTTTTTCACTTAAAAATAAAATCTTGGGGCATTCCTATTTTGAGACATTCCCATTAATTTGCTCCCCCATTGTCCAGGATAGTTTGTGGATAACCCTGCCTCTTTGATCACATGGTCCTCAGGCTTGCTCTTATCCTCGGTCTTCTTTTTCTTCTCAGCAGGTTTCTTTCCTTCAGTCATCGCCGTCTCTCTGGGTCTTTTCTGGGGCTTGCGTTTCTTCATCGTCGGCTCTTCACTCTCGTCACTGTCAGACTCTTCGTCCTCCTCCTCCTCCTCCTGATCTTCATTCATCATCTTTGGTGACTTCGTCTCCTCCTTCAGACTCTGAGTCATCCTCCTGTTGATCTGCATCCTCCTTCTGATCTTCATCAGTTTTCATCTTCGTTGATTCCGGCTCTTCTCCCTCAGACTCTTCTTCATCCTCCTTTTGATCTCCTTTCTTTGATCGGCTTGTCGTCATCTTCGGCTCTTCTCTGTCAGACTCTTCTTCATCCTCCTTTTGATCTCCTTTCTTTGATCGGCTTGTCGTCATCTTCGGCTCTTCTCTGTCAGACTCTTCTGAATCCTCCTTCTGATCTGCCTTCTTTGCTCGGCTTGTCGCCGTGTTCGGCTCTTCGGACTCTTCTCCATCCTCCATGTGATCTGCCTTCTTGTCTGTGCAAATCTTCTTTCGCTTCGATGATTCTTCAGCATCTTCTCGTCGTTCTTCATCATCTTCACCTGTGGTCAGATCCTCATCTATGCTTGCTTCATCACTATGCTGCTGCTCTGCCTTCTTGTTTGTTCTTCCCTTGGTGGTCTTTGTCTTTTCTGCCCTCTTTGCCATTGGGTGGTTCCTGGAGCTTCTGAGTGCAGGCTGTCGTCGGGGTGCCTTTGCCTTGCGCTTGCGCCCATGTTCAGCAGAACCTTCCGGCCCATCATCATCATCATCATCATCTTTCTTCTGACTCTTTTTTCGATCTGCCACTGTGGGATTTTCTTCCTCTTCATCCTCATCCTCGTCGCTCTCGCTTGGACAATCTTCGGAAGGTTCTGGCTTCTTCGCCTTTGTCTTCTTTTTTGGCTCTTGTCTGACTCTTGGCTTGGCAGGTGTCTCTTCCAGCAGCTTGCGAAGCTTTGCAGACCCCTCTAGTTTGTTGCCATCTGTCTTCTTCTCCACTCGTCTCTTGTTTGGTTCTCCTTCTTCCTCCTCCTTCGGATCTGCATTCTTTGCATGGCTCGTCTTCTTCACTTGCAAGTTTTTGGTTTTTGGCTCTGCTTCTCTTGCATTTTTCCTCTGGTTGTCCTTCTTTGCTTCGCTTGCCTTCTTCACCTTCTTCACCACCTTTTCTTCCTCAGAGCTTTCTGTGAGGTCATCCACTTGATCTTCTTCCTTTGTCTTCTTCTCTGCCTTCCGCGCCTTTGGCTTCACAGCACTCTTTGCCTTTCCCGACTTTCTTGGCCTGCATGGCTTTTCATCCGAATCCTCGCTTTCATCCTCAGTCTCATTTTCCTTCTTGTCTGCTTCCTTCTTTGTGGCTCTTCCTTTCGCTTTCGCTTTTGCTTTCGCCTTTGCCTCCTTCTTATTCCTCGGCTCTTTATCCTTCTTCTCACCCTTCTTCAAAAAGTCACGAAGCCTGGTGGCAGCGCTGGCACTGCTGGTCGTAGCGCCCTTTCCCTCAGCTCCTGTCACATGCTTCTCTGTCTTTTCTTTTCCTTCTGCTTTGCCTTTCTTCACGGTGTCCTTCACATCTTTTTGGGTTGATCTTGGCGCTGGAGGGTTGCGATGTTTCACCTTGTCACCATCGAGACACATGGTATCCTCAGAGTCAGACTTGTCAGGACAACCTGACGAAAGATCTTCCTCTGAATCCAGAGCATTTTCTTCGTCATCTTCCTTTGCAGGCTTTTTCTTTCCTTTGGAAGTCTTTGCCTTTTCTTTTGCCTTTGTCTTGTCATCATTCTGTAGTGTCAACTTCTTCAAAGCGGACTCCTTCTTTTCTTCAGCACCTTCTTGACCTTGTTTGGGCTTTCGCCCGCGTTTCTGGTGGCTGCCCTCCACTTCGTCTTTGAGGTCCTTGGAGATCTTGTCAATCTCAGCTGGGGCAAGCATAGGGTCATTCTGCTTAGTTCTCATCCCGGACGTAAGTGGCAAAGGGGCTGAGTTTGAACTCCCTGAAGCGGCTGAGAGTGAACTTCTTGCAGGAGCTTCTGAGCATCCCCCTTTCTTGGCTTCAACCTTGCTCGGAGCCACAGCTGGTTGTGAGATCGGAGTTGGTGTCCCGGACGGTGGAGAAGCAGCTCGTCGTACCTGACCATGGAAGTTGAAAAAATAATGTGGGAATCACTGTGTGGTAAACATGATACAGTATCTTGTGAAGATTGTTCGATATATTGCTGTTTGGAAATATCCAATGCAATTGTGCTGGAACAGATCTCACTGCAAGCCCCTGACCTGACTTTGCGGAGTTTCGGTAAAAGAAGGATCTATGTTTGCCAGTCGCTCGAAATCCTTCAGGAAACAGAGGTCAAGGACCTCTGAGAAAACAATGTTGGTCCATGCTGGTCTAATTTTGTAATTAAGCTGCAAGGAAACTGAAAACGGACATTCTTAAAAACATCAAAGTTCTGTCCTCCTCAAAACCATGGTCAGCTAATAGCTTGCTCAGCCCCACCATGGCCCAAGTGGCCCAAGGGCCCTTCAAATCAAAACAGGGGCTGCTACAGAGTGACCGTTAGCGAACAAAAGTTCTATGAGCCAAGTTGCGATGCAATGTGATGAATCAGAATAGCAATGTGCAAAACAATAAGATGGACCCTGACCACCATTTATGATTTCCCACCTGGCTTTCCTTCGCGCTGCAAAGCTGCAAACTTCTCAGGCTTCAAGAACTTCGCAGATCCATGTCCGATTTGAAACTCGGTCAGCGGCACCTCCAAGCTCATATGAGCAGCCTGGGTCGGGAGAAACTTTCGGAAATCATAAGGATGAATCAGCCTGTTTGACATAGATTGTGATTATCCGGATGTATATAGTTTGTTTCATTTTGTCTCCGTCTTGTTTGGTTGCAGTTGCAGTGAGTATCAATGGTGGAAACACGGAAGTTCACAAATCAAGCTTTGAGTCTGACATGTTGAATTTCAGAAGTCTAGGCACCAGGAACAGCTTGAAGGCTTGGCCTTCCACAACCTGGTGTTCTGAACCATCCCTTTGCTTCGCAGCGACCACATACAGCGTAGAACCAGATGTCCGTCCACTGAGGTTTGTTTCGACCAAGTATCGATCCTAAGATTCAAATGGTTGAATCTTATTTTCACACACATCAAAAGCAACAAGTAAGTCGAATCAAGATGTCACAACAGGCTACTCTGATCATGCTATGGAATAACTTCAAGCTAGGCTTCTGTGAGCTCCTGAATCGTTGTCGGTTCACCGTCCCATGGTGCGCGAGCTGGTGATAAGGACTGGACAGAAATCTCGGTCCCAGCCGACACACTTTCAGCAGGCCGGGTAGGGATACCAAACCTGGGAGGAATGAGAAGACTTCTTGAGATGTAAAGCCTAGCAAAACAAGTGAAACTAGCAGCCACAACTATAGCAGTCAGTTCTTTGGCTGAAATAATGAAGATGTGAAAGGACCATGTGCATGTTTATTAGCTACTAGGAGCTTGTTGTCGAAGTCTGTCAGAAGCTCCCGCCACTCCTGAGAGAAGACCACATCCTCAAGCCAGTGCATGCGGAAAGTCTGCGGAAGCGTCACTTTGAACTTCTTCCATCCACTGGTCTCTTCAAGGTTCTTCTCCAAGCGAACCACCTGATCAGAAAAAGTTTCTTTGTAGGTGGTATGTTTGTTTGAAGCAGCTTGATTTAACAGATTCAAGAACGAAAGCCATAAGGCAGTCAGTCAGTTTGATCCTCAAAAACATTTAAAGACCTACTAGCCTGAAGAGGAAACTTGCTGATGTCAGCATCCTCCACTTTCGGGGCTTCAGGCTCATACTTCGGAGCAGTAGACCCCATGCAGTGATTGCCTTTCTTCCAGTCCTGGAAATTTTACTGATTGGCTAGGATTGGTCAGGGGATAGCTGATTCCTAATTCACCGATCCCATTGAAACATGCTTTCCGACATCAGGTGAAGCACAAACAATGAAGACCAAGGACAGTCCTGCATCAGCCGGAGGGACAGGCTTCGGTCGCAGTAGGAAACCACGGTCAGATTTTTGGACAAAGAAAGTGATGGCATCACAGTTTCGCCATTGGTCTTTTTTCCCCACTTCATAGCAGAAAGTTCAACCCATGTGTCATAAGGGGACAGGTTGACCAATCCCACAACACCCTTGACGTGGGTCTTTGAAAGCAAAGCTGACATCACATGTTCAGGCAGCTGGTCTCCCGAAAGCAGCTGTGCACTTTCCTGGTTCTGTGAGAGCGACCTGCCGTTGGAATGACATCAAATAAATTGCAAAATGTTTTCCCATCAACACCATCAAACTATGATGAATGGTGGTAAAGACACCAGTTTCAAAGCAAAAGAGCCATTGCACATGCCGCCATGTTGTGACACTGTTTTAGTAAAGAATTGTTTCGACACTGATTTAGTAAAGAATTGTTTCAGTATAGTATGCACTGCCCCAGCCTGATCTCGGCTGAATTTGGCACAGAGTCTTTGGCTGGCGCAGGAACCACATATGAGCTTTCTGCAGCCCATGGCAGGCAAGCTCTGGTGCACCTGTCAGGGTTGGAACTTGCTAGTGAAAAAACACAAGTGATCAGAATTCCATCAGACCTGATTTGTACTTTTGGTGAATTTTTGTGAGGAATGAGAACTGCTGGGTTTTAGGAATTCACCATGGCTCCAGTTTTCCAAAAAAGTTGAAACAAGACACAGCCCACCAAATATCCCATCGTCAGAAACCCGACCTGTCCAAAATCAGTTGGTTTCCTTTCCACACATTGCTGGCACGGGATCCCTCATCGAAGCACACCCAAGCAGGAAACTGTAGGGGGACATGTTTCTGCCCCGGGGGGTCGGACATGCGCAGCATGGTCAGCTCAGAGTAAATGGACAGGGCATCGAGTTTATCTTCGATTCTCCTGTGCCAGAATTGCTATGAAATAGATTGAAATAGAACTATTGGGAGCATGTTGGAAAATAAAAAAAAACCTCATGCATAAGCCCAAACAAGGAATCTTGAGGTTCCCTTCAATTTCTTCAGATATCATTCAACGAACCTACAAGATTTTCTTCAAACCTTGAGTGGGAAAGGAATTCATGAGGATGAGGTTTGTTGAATTCTGTCCTGATTTCTCCTCGAAGGGACCCTTGCACTGAAGCCTTCTCTGACACCAGGAATGGACAAATGATGAAGCCAACAACCTTCTCCGGGCAGCGCGCCATGCAGGCCTTCATGAGATCCAGGGAGTCGTTGAGGTCACCATTGGTGAGCTTGCCGTACTTGGTGTAGTCCAGCCACACCACTACACCCCCATCATTCTTGAACTTGTCCAGCTTTTGAAGATTGGACATAAACTGACAGGGTTGTGCAAGTGGCTGACTTGTGATTGATATTGATAGATCATCCACATCATGAATCTGATTTGTTCCTTTTAATGATGTACTGCTGGGGCAATCGAAATACCAAGTAGAAGATTGGAGGGGTGCAGAGATTCGAATCACAAGAATATGTTCTTATGTTCAACATATTTCTGGACAAACCAACGAAGACATCTTGCCTCATCCATGGCTCCTTCCAACTCACCAGAGCGTCCGCCCACATGCTTCATGTTCAAGGCCATGAACTTTCGGACATAGTCTGCACCCACTGTGTTCTGCTGCTTCAGGTGGGTGACTTTTTGAAGACGTGCCGCCCGATCGTGGTTCGAGAGCTGCTTGTAGATCAAGGCGAGCTGGGCGCAATCTCTGGCAAGTTTCAAACAATCCTGTCGGAAAGCTGACTCCCGGGCGTCTTTGTCCAGCTTGTCAATCTCGTTGTCCACAAGTTGAAAGCTCACTTCAGCTGGGGCAGGCTTCTTAGTGACATTCTCAGTCCATAATGTCAAATGGTGTGGCTCGAAGCTAGACTCTTTCAAGGTCAGCATTTCCATCAGCTCAGCATTGTAGTCCCTGCAGGTTTGCAGGGTATAAGGACAAGGTTTTTGTAACCAAGATGAAAAGATTGTATGTGTTTTCGCTGACTTTATTGATCACAAAACGTAAGGCAAGTCTTTGCTGATTTTTAGTTGGTCAATGGTCGAAATAGAAACAGGCCAAAGGCACCCATCCACAGCCCGTTTGGAAATTTTGTCAACGACGCCAGGCTCAAAGACTGGAACGTTGCCATGATCAACTGCCAGTTTCATTTCGCGCAGAATGCTCTCCATCAGGCACATACGCTCCTGAGTGGGCAGGGTGTGGTTTTGTAGTTGCTACATTGGATGATAACATCATGCCAAAGAAATTTCAAGATTTTTGTAATTATACATCAATTGTTTCAACTTCGCCATGTAGAGGTGTTTTCAACAAGCAGGGATACCTCGTAACACATGAAAGCCAACAACACGCACTGTGAAGCAATGTTGCAGTCTTAACCCAATTTCAACCCAATTTGCTTCTGCAGTTGGGAAGGGTTTGATGGGATTCCTAGTTGGATTTGACTTCATTGCTGCGGCTATGTTTTTTACCTGGGTTTATCCGCCCCCCAAAAAGAAGCTCAATCGTTGTCAAGTGGGAAAACAACCCATAAACCACAAGCTCACAGGAGACCAAGCATCACACTCATTGCACCAGTCCTGGAGTGGTAAGCGGAGGTTCGCTGCACGAGCGCCTCTGCGAACTGCCCGATCATGTAGAAACAAGATACGCCGCAAGAACAGCACCTTTGCAGGGGGGCAATTTCAAAACAGGCGTCAGGGCATATTAAGTTTAAAAAACTTTTCAACAGACATTGGCCCAAAATGCACCTGCTTTGGTGCAGTCACAGTCAAGATCAGGTGCCACACAGCATTGCACCCAGTGGAAGGTCCAGCACCAACGAGCCACTGTGCATGCGCCAGCATGGCATTGGAGAAAGCTGCCAGGGTCCAGGGAATTCACGCAAGACCCTTCCCTGTGTGTATGTACTTGCAAAGACAACAAAAAAATTGGAAGCTTTGTTTTTTGGCAAGGAAGGGGAGATTGAGACTGACACGAGCCACATACAAAAAAGTTATCCTTCATGAATATCATAATTTCTTAGAAGGCACTCCCAAACACTTTCTTGAACACATGTCTATGCCATGCTTTGTACATGCCATTGCCTGAATCGGCAAAGCGGTATCGATGGAGGTGGTTCTCAATCATCGACCATGCCTCGTCGCATACCCCAACCTGGTCAGGGCGGGTGAGACATGCTATGTTTTCTCTTTTTGTTTTCATGATCTTGGAGCCACAATGTATTGTCAGATTCAAAAACAATTTTGGGCATAGTTGGAACGAAAACAATGGCCTTGAATCCATACAGTTGGGAAGCAGTTCCCTCATCGATCCTCAATCGCTCTGAGAAGTTTGCTGCACCGTAGTTGTTGAATTCATCAATGGCTTCCATGAATGCATCTCTGAACTCGCTGAAAGTTCTAGGGGCCTCCCAAGATCAAAATAAATTGTTCCAGTGACAGTGCCAGAATTTCTTGTATGAAGCCAATCTAGATCAACCCTTTTCAAACACAGACTACTATTTGATTGGAACCTTTTGGAACCACATGATCTTTCCATGTATTTAACATACCCGTCCTCAACTTGCAACTCTTTGGCACGAGTGGTGAATATGAGGGCCTTTTGAAGAGCATTCATCTTCTGCTTCTCACTCTGCTGCTCTGTCATCTGAATCCTCCGATAGTTGAGCACCGCAATCGGCTGCCGAGGCATCAGCACCATCTGGATGGTCTCCACTGATTTTGTGAACCTGCAGGACACCGCCAGTTGTGGTGGCCGAGGCTGTGGCTAACAACATTAAATTGACTTACAGTACCATTGGGAAGCTGAACATAGGCCCATATAATCCCATATAGGCATTTGGAAACCAAGAGAACCGTAGGCTTGCCATGGGCAAACAGTCATGCCTACAAATTCCACTTTTGGTTCAACGCCAAAACAAGAGCTTTGGTCCAACCATTAAGGGTGAGTTAGACAGAGACGATGTTTTTGGTTTAAGACAAAGGCGACGGTTTTTGTTTAAGACAAAGGCGACGGTTTTTGTTTAAGACAAAGGCGACGGTTTTGGATCCAGACAAAGGCGACGGTTTGAGACAAACCCTCACCTTCTGGCGGGGTCAGAGGTGATGGTTTTGACTTTTGGGCTCTTGCTATGGCCCAGATCAAGCTTCTGAACTTGCAAATTTGCTGGAATTGTTTCTTTCTGGCTGTTGGAACGCCACTCTGACTTGATTACCCCAAACTATCGAGGATATCTCTGGAAATGGGCCTTGGGATCAAATGCGCAACCTTTAGAAGATAATTTTTGGGGCTAACATAAGGCGACGGTATCACTGGAACCACCACCTTTAAATAGGTGGCTCTGACCTGTTTTGGGCACACTTTCAAAGCCAACAATGGCATGTGGGGCGTGGATAAGGTACTAAATGGTTACATTTCTTGAAAAGCTCATCATTCCTCACCCAAAGTAGCTCCCAAAAGCTGTGCCGGCTAATGAAGGTATATGATGGTATATGCCATATGTATGATTTCAAGGCGACGGTTCCACCCAAACCCTCACCTTTCTGAGCCATCCATTTTGAATGCTTCAAAGGTCACCCATTTGATCCCATCTGATACATTTGAAACTTGTAATCCTTTTGGGAAATCCCGGTCCTGGAGAAGTCCTCTAGCTCCTCTGGCCCCATATCTCGGAGATTCATGTAGCTGTAGCACACCGCGAAGAGGATGATGCTTGCTCTGCCGACCCCTTTCACAGGAACGAGCGTGCAAGGCTTCATGGCTTGGCCCAACACATCGTCAGTCAAGGGGCACACCTCGATGGGAGATCGCCAGGCTTCATAGCCCACAGTCCATACATCTCCTGCTGTCCGGAGCCAGTCTGTCAAAACTGGCAACCCCTCGCTCGGCTTGTCCAACATCAGGAGAGAGAAGTGGCCACTGATGGTCTGCTTCTCAGCTGTGGCCTTGGGTGGGAGGGTCTCTGGTTGGCTTAGCTTCTGACACCATGTTGACATGCATAATTTCAACATAGTAGCCAAAAACCAGACCCCCTGAAAGTGTGTGGGTGTGTGTGTGTGTGCGTATGTGATTTTTGATTGTTTTGATGCTTTTGGAGAAGGTCTATGATTTGGCGGTTGAAGCTTTTTGGCAAACCTGCGCATTGATTTTGTTCAAAGCAAATGGCATAAGTTCCAAAATAGAGAAAATGTGAAATCATGACCAAGAAGCCGGCAAGCAGGATTCCCAGCTAACTTTGGTCCCAGTGATTCCTTCCAACCAAACGAAGACTGGCTCCAACATGGTTGCATGCGTCCACGTGTCCAGTAGCCATTGAACTGGATGTTCCCCATTGTCAATGTTGAAGGACCTAACCGATGGAAAAGAGAATGTTTCCAATGTGACAATGTTAAATTTCCACTTGGGTTGGTTCACCAAAAAAGGCCCCCACAAGTCCCCTAAAAACAGTGTAGTGTTTACCTTGCATTTTATGAAATATTTTGGGACTTGTGGGGGCCTTTTTTGGGGGGACCAGTTGACAACTGGATGGCCATTAATTCTGGAATGATTTCATCAGGGCAACACGAAGAAAGCTATATACTGTTTTTGCCAATGTTGACACTTTCTAAGGCTGAGTAGTTGCAAACTAAGTTCCTAGCTGGGCCCTTTCCATAATCATCTGGCACCATGGCCTACTGACCTTTGCGGCTTTGGCTGCAGTTTTGCCGCTGCCGCCAGCAGAAGGTCGTTTCGTCGGCATTTTTCCCGTTGGGAAAAAAACAAAAGTCCAAGCCAAATGCTGTTGGTCCATTCCACATGTTGAATCTGAAGAATCCTGACTCAGTAAGGCCCTGATTGTCAATGTGGATAAACGTGCCCAGTTTCCGTCTCAGTGCTGATTTGAGAGAACATGCATGTTGATTGAGGCCCAAGATTTTCCCCTGTTGCTTGCTCTTTGAACTTTAGAGCATCAGATTTGGGCAATGCTAGCCCCATCATTAAATTTCGTAGCACCAAGTGAATTTGCGTCAGCATGTGCACAACCAAATTGGTTGGAATCCATCGAAGTGAATTTGAAATTGGACAAGAGGCTTCTTCAGCCAGTTCTAAGCTCCAGTCCAAAGACACATGCCAAAATGGCACATCCCACACACGGTAGGTTCATAGCGTTTCCGCCCATCTTCACGAGGCTGCTGTCCCTGACTTTGTCCACCTTGAGGCGCGGTGTGCCAGAGAGCTTGGCTTGCCGGTCTGTCGTCGGAATGCAGTGGGTGTTCAGCATCTCGGTTGGGGAAAGATATCGCTTCTGGTCCTTTACAGGGGTTGTCAAGATGGGGATCACTTGAATCTTGTGGTGTCTGAAATTTGGTAGTGACATATCAACTGAATGCTAGTTTTATAGGGAATCGAAACCCAGCATGCCTTGTGGAAAATCTTTCCCGAATTCGTAGTCAATGTCGGCAAAGCTCCATCCTTGGTCTCGTGACGGCCACGACCACTGTGAGCCATTTGGCAAAGGTCTGCCATTCGGAAGCCCAACTCCTGGTAGTCCCTCAAGTTTGCTTCCTCACAATAACATCACCGGAATAACTTGGAAAGAGACTATGCAGGCTATAATACATTTGGATGCGATATACTTGAATTGTTCAGTATTGGATGTTTGATATAGCTTCACATGCTTGATAGTGCATTTCATTTCGGAGTCTGCCATTTGACATGTACATCGGGTTTTGCTTTCTGCAACAAACGTCGTCCTGATTGTTCAGATTTGCGGGCACCATCATTACATGTTTCACTAAGACATTCTGTAAACTGTGATTGCAGCCGTGATTCAGTGCTGGGAGTCAGCTTGGTGCGAGGGATATCCATCCACCAGTATTCAGATGCATCGAGTGTCACCTGGGAGGTGACCACGTCCAAGAACTCCATGAGGGAGAAGTCTGGCGACCAGGAAAACTTGGCCTTCTTCCAGGCAAGGATGTAAACCCTTGCACGTGCAGTTGGCAAGCCGAGTACTCTGGGATCGATTTTGAATGACTTTCCGTCAAAATCTTCTCCTAGTTTTTGGCATGCCAAAGACTGCTCGTACCCCTTCTCTTCGTACTCAGGGACATTCTCAATGATCTGAATGTCAACATTAGGGCTGATGTTCTCATACATGGCCTCGTGCGTCTCAAACTGAACATCCTTTGTTTGCAGGCGGTTGCCCATCATCGAGAAGCTGACGCACGGAGGTCCTTATAGCTACAATCTCAGTCATTGAATTTGAGTGGCAAAGTACTGGTGTCAGATTGCAGCTCTTTTTGACGATTCAATCATATTTGGCATTTTTTTTGGCAAGTGCTTTTTCAATTAAGATTGGATCCAGAGACATTGACCCGGATTCCTCAGAAACCGGCACAACGATTTCCAACTCACATGGTGGTTGGAATTCTCAAAAAGTTGACATCATGTGTCATCCACATATCAAGCAAAACAAGTAGGCAGAGTCAAGATTCGATCTTTCTCCTTTGCTGGTAACAAAGGGCAGAGCTTGTTGTGAACAACACAAAAGGCTCTCTTATCGGCTCTGTCGGTCTTCAAGACATCAGCAAATATGCAATGTTCTCTGGCTCCACCCTTCCCCTTCTCAACGAAAGTTTCATAGAGCACATGTCGACAATCCACATCAACCTCGCAACTTGAGGCCAGTACAACCTTTGGGCTCAGCATCCTTGGGTCGGAGGCCTTCTTCGTGGTGTACTTTGCTGCGGCTGTTTGTAGACTCAATGCTGCCTGGGTATATTGCAAAGGGTCATGATATGGGGGAATGGTGAAGTCCATTCGAGACACAAGACGAGCATATTATATGCTCACCACAGGTTTCATGTACAACTTGAACTCGAAATCAAACAGTTTCATTTCTGTTTATTTGATCTGAAGTAAGTACGGTACCAATTCAGCACATCCCACACCAGAAAAGCAGGTGGAGAGTTGCCATTTCCAGGAGCGTAGTTTGTTGCACACAAAGTTGTCACCATACTTATGAGCAACTCGCTTGAGAAAAACAGAAGCCCAAGTAAAGGTTCTGCTCAAGGTTTTGAAATTGGCTGGATGGTCATCTGTCGCCGCAGGGACGTTGGTCTTTGGAAAGCAACACCTCCGCTTCCAGGTGCGTGATTGCAAATGCAAACTTCAGCTCTTCAGCAGTGTGTGTGCATGCTACTCCCATGCTTTTGAACTGAAGAAATTGAATCACGCCTCTTGGTGATCGTTTTCTTCACCTTCTTTTGCACCTTTTTGGGCCTCCAGTCTTGGGAAGCTACATCATCATAGCTTACAATGCAGTCAGTCTAAGTTTGGACGTCAAGAGGAGATGATTCACTTGACATTGACAACTTATTTGACAACAACTTTGCTCAATGTAACTCCGCGCATGGAGGTGTTTGACTTGGTTCCGCCATGCTTTCTAAGTTGCTGGGCAGCTTGTTTCAAGCTCAGCATCTCTAGATGCGGGAGGGGAGAGCAGCAAGGGCGAACCACTGAAAGCATCGATATTCGTCATAGGAAGATTTGGCACCAATCAAATCAAAGATTGGTCAGTGGATTTTTCTGTGATTCAAAAACTGGAAGATCAAACTGCACACAAGATGCACCAAGGTGCATGGTTGCAACCCAAAACCAACATGTTTTTCAGAGCAATTTTGTGCTGGTCAGACAACACCTGAAGTGAGCTAATTGCATTTTGCAATCAATTGGCGGAATTCATTGTGGCTCCGCGTCGAGATCTAAGGCCAGTTGCTGTGATTCCTCTGCCTGACAAAGCATTTCTCAGGCATGGCAAACGAAACAGTGTCAGCATGGACTGATGGATGTAGCTGGGGCTTTTGGGGACCCACCCTGAAACACTGTTCAAAAGCATTGGCTACTCTTGGAGACGCGCTGAATAAACTGGCCTCCAAAGCAACTCTAGTTCTGGATCTTGGGTAAGCCTCACCAAAGACCAGTACGGTCAACAAGGGGAGTATAAATCAACATATCACCATCATCATCACAATCATCATCACAATCATCATCCTCAACATCATCACCATCACAATCACCATCACCATCGCCGCCACCATCATCATCATCATCATCATCCTCACCATCAAAACCATCATCATCACCACGATCTTCTTTATCATGTTCACCATCACCATCGCCATCATCATCATCATCATCATCACCATCATCATCACCATCATCATCATCACCACCATAACTATCATCATCACCATCGTCATCATGATCACCACCATCATTGTCATCCTCATCCTCGTCGTCATCATCCTCATCATCATCATCATTGCCATCGTCATCCCATCATGATCATGTTCTTCGTTATCAAAACCATCATCATCACCACCATCCTCTTCAGCATGTTCACCATCACCATCATAATCATCGCCATCATCATCTTTATCTTTTTCATCACCAAAACCATCATTATAACCATCATCATCATCATCATCATCACCATCATCATTGTCATCCTCATCCTCATCCTCATCATCAACATCATCATCATCATCATTATCATCATCACCATCCCCACAGCCATTTTCATCAAGCACCATCAACTATCAAACAGTCAATCACATTCATATGATCACCATCATCACAACAAAATCACCAGCAACATCATCATCATCATCACCACATCATTATCGTTGTGATCATCATGGTAATCACCATCACCACGTATCACCACCATGACTGCCCTAATCACCAAAACTTTTATTATTATCCTTTCCATCATAATCATGACCAAAATCATGGTCGTGGAACATCATCACCATCATCATCATCATCTTATCATGATCATATTCTTCGACATCAAAAGGACCAAAACCATCATCGTCATCATCATCATCATCACCATCGTTATCATCATCATCATAATCATCCATCATCACCATCCTCTTCATTATGGTCACCATGTTCATCATCTTCATCACCATAAAAAAGCATCATGAACATCGTTGTCATGATCATCATCAACATCATCACCATCCTCACCCTCATCATCATAAACATCATCATCCTCCTCATCCTCCTCATCCTCATCATCATCCTCATCCTTACCTCATCACCGTCATCATCATCATCATCATCATCATCATCATCATCATTGTCATCATCATCTTCATCCTCATCATCATCATCATCAGCATCATCATCATCATCATCGTCATCATTGCCATCATCATCTCATCATGATCATCTTCTTCGTTATCAAAACCATCATCATTACCGCCATCCTCTTCAGCATGTTCACCATCACCATCATCATTATCACCATCATCATCGTCATCATTTACATCACCAACATCATCATTATAATCATCATCAACATCATCATCAACATCATCACCACCAAAACCATCATCATCATCATCATCACATCACCATCATCATCCTCCATCATCATCATCATCCTCCATCATCATCATCATCATCATCATCATCATCATCCATCATCCATCATCCTCATCATCATCATCATCATCATCGACATCAGCAGCAGGAACAACAACATCTTCAACTTCACTTTCATCTTGTTAAGGCACCCATGCCTCAGTCGCCACAAACCCTGAAAAATAATGAAAAATATTGCAAATGATAAAACTGCTTCTTTTCCGGGGACTGGTTGAAGGCCAAGCATGGCCTATGATTTTTGAGAAGGACAAACGAACAGGAACAGCAAGGAGATAAGTCTGCTCGAATAAACAGCTGATTGAGTGACTGAATGATGGATTTGAAAATTGAAAACCAGATTGCATGAGTTCCACGCCAAACCTATGGATTTGACAGCCTTCGGTTCTATCTAAAAATTGAACAGAAACTAGTGCAGGGAAGAAGAGGCCTCTTGTGAAGCAAATGCTCTGGTAGAAGCTGAGGATGACAAACCTACCTTGCCCAGCAGCTGCCAGAGTGGGACTTAACCAAGATGTCACACACACACACGAAAAAGCAAAAACACCGGTCACTAGACCATGCCAGCGGGAAACCTAGTGGGATAATAACAGATAAGACATGAAACCCATGTAGGAAGTCTGTCATGATCTTGGTCCTGGATCCTATCTGATTCAAAATTCGAAAGGATAAGCCTCAGGGCGAGCAGTAGAGCTAGCAGAAGCCCTGGACGCAGCCTGTCAAGACCAGCAATGGGGCTGAGGGTCAAAGATGGTATAGAAGCATGGAAACAGTTCGGCCTCTTCTGCCAATTGCAATTTGCGTCTCTTTGGCAAGGCAACCTGA